CTAATAATACTTGGAGTTTCTTAGAAATAGTATGTCGTGATGCTCTACACTTCTATGCATTCACAGAACTTACTGAAAAAATAGAATGATAATTCTGAGAAGCCCAGAAATTATTTCACAAATCACATTTTATCAAATGTTAACAACACAACAGTCAAGGTAAATCCAGTGGGAATGTTGTAAAATGCTTCTGTCTCAACTGTTGTATGAGCTGTAACAGCTATTTTTGTTGAACATTATTGATAGAGGGCAGAAACAGGCAAAGAAATGAGAAGGATAAAGACAGCTGCTATAGAAGATTTTTCTGGGTGTAACCATAATGCCTCTCAGCAATAGCGATCTGCAGTCTTAACATGTGATAAAATCTTACACACAGACACTATATACTACTTTAAGTTTAAGCACTAACCTGCAAATATTTTGGTGTAGCTTTTCCTGGAGGTCAATGAAACTCTCATAACGTTCCTTGGTAAAAGTTATATTACGGAGGACGGCAGCTACAGCGTGAGGACGGATCTGGACAGTCTGCAGTTTACAGCAGCAACATGCATATTTCAAGTACACAGAAAATACAAAATTCCAACTGATTAAATGTGCACTCTTTGTCATAAAATCCCCTTTTGTAAAGTAGGAAAATTCATGGAAAGACATTTGAATCCCAAAGGGGAAAAAAACCAAATAAACCCAATCCAGGTCAGTAGAGACCAGGAGGTTTGCAATATACTGTGTAATGGCCCAGAAGGTCAATGGAATGTGAGCACCTGAAACTTTGATTTGATCTGCTATTAGGTTCACCCAAAATAATTTGTCTGTTGTTCCTCCCCATCCACTTCACTAAAAATTAATCGCAGTGAGTAGAGATATTTTAATTTCCTTAGCTCTTGTTCTGCAAATAAGATTTCCAGTCTCACTGCTCTTACAAAATTGGCACTGATATAGATCTTGCTGCTTCAGCACCTCTCAATATATTTACAAAGGTGCAGTAAACACTTTTACCTGTTCAGTGATAATCAGCTTCTGACCTTCACCCTCAGCTGGTATTATCTTTTCATATCTAGGGACATTTATCCTAAAACAAAACCAGAAGTAAGTTTGTAAGTGAAAAAAAAAAAAAGCTCCCCAAGGGCAGGAAACTTTAGAAATGTAGCAGCAATGATATGTACAAAACTTCCTTAGTAACGTTTCTTGACATGTAATTAGCTAACTGTTCAAAACTTCTTTTCTATGGGATGGTAAACAGATTACTGAGCTAGAAAGGAAGGACTCAAGAAGATAAAGTGGAATAAATTCTTTGTTTTGGTATTTATTACAAAGGATCATAAGGAAGTTTTGCTGCAGGAGTTCTTTACAGAGGATAAGTCTCAATGGAACAGCAGCTGAAAAATTTTTAGAACAGATCCAAAAGCCCGTTAACAGTGTAGTCTTTTTAAGTTATACAGTAGATCCTGTCCAGAGGAACATCTGGTGAATCTCATCATATGCATAATCCAAGCAAGTAGAAAGTTCATTTACTGATCAGAAATGGACTTGTATGTCAACAAATAACCAACCACACCAAAATCTCACAACTCTGCCTTACCTTTCTTTAAAGACCTGCAGTCCTCGGACCAGCCCTTCCAGGCAAAGAAGATCATAACGGTTGGCAGGAACATCAATTTTGTAGAGAACGACATCAGATGCACCCTTTGCCTTTTCTTCGCCTTTTTCTTTACTTATAATGTCTTTCTCAGATGTCTGAAATGAAGAAAAACGTGTTTTGGACCTGAAATAACTTATCACTGACAGGAATGTGACAGTGATATAACACAGTAAGAAAAGACTGTATTAATTAGAAGTTAAACAGTGTAATTGGGATTTATACAACAAGTGGACACACCAAATATGAGGAGCTACACACCATCTTTCTCAGACTAAGAGACTATTTTAAAAATAGAAATTTTAGAAGCAGGAGTCTCCAGGCTGCCAGATCCCAGTAGATAACTGAGACATTTTTGGCAATAGATCGGCAAATGACTTGTTATAATCAAGTCTATTCTGAAATAAAGCATAACACATGATGTTCAGATGTCTTTTGACATATGTCATTAAAAGATCAATAAATTAAAATTAAAAATCAAAACCAAAATAGGTCTACTTGAAAAAGTTTTACTTGAAAAAGATTTACATGTATACATTTATCAGGGCTAGCAAATTTTCACAAGTACAGAATCTAAATCAAAACTTTAAATATGAATTAATTACAACTTAGGTAACAATGTACAGGACAAATATACTTTTTGTGGATATTGCACAAAAGAATGCATACAAAACAAAGCCAAACAAATCTTGTAAAGTAGAATCAATATATGGTCTGTGGCCATATTTATGCTGCTAAATAAAATGGGGCCAGAGACTGAAGAATAAGTGTCACAGAGTGCTGACCTCCAGAATGTCCAGCAATATGCCACCTTGGAGTCTCTTGCTTCCAAGGTAATAATTTTTGTATACCAGGGGATTTTTTTCAGATTCAGAACACCACTGTTAATACAACATTGCATTACAACATCCATTACAATACTGTACCACAGGATACACTGGAAATAATGCAGTAAAAACTCTTACCAAATATAAACACTGTCAACACGCTACCTCTACCAAAAAAGCAACAAATAAAAACATTACTTACAATTTCATCGAGCTCCAAACCAAACTCAAAGCAAAGTTCATCAAATTCTTCATCCGCTGTGAAGGAAGGTGAACTTTGGTTAATAAGCAGATCTCAGACTTAATTTTTTTGTGTGTTTGTTTTCAATGTTTTCAAACAAGGTAACGAATGATATTTTGAAAAAAAAAAAAGGTAGTAGTAATTTAAAGAATTTTGCTTGTATTTGCATCTGAGTGGCAGCTTCTTTAGTATATGTACATTTAGTGACATGGTATTCTTACAGTCACAGCAAGGGCTTCTGAGCCTTGGAGCTTAGCTCCTCAGACAAGCTTGTCAGAGCAACTCCGGCCTGAACAGATAATGAAAAGAGGAGTGAATAATTGGGCAGCTTCTGCCAACTGCTCCTGCCAACTGCTCCTGTCAGCTTGCTATACAGAGGTTGCATCAACTGCGTCGTAGCACACACAGCCCTGATCTGGCCATGGAGATTTGTCTGAAGAGCCACGGCCCCTGCGTGTATGGCCCTGAATGCTCCTTCAGCCCAAGAGTCACGTTTCTAAAGAGCCGGGAAAGGAGAACTGAATAAAACCACGGTATTCACCCCTTGCTTTGACCACTCCCGCCTCTTCTCTCTCCTTTTTGATTTAACCAGTTCCTAAAACAGCCAGTGGAACTCCCAGACAGAACCCGCGATCTGGAAGCGCCTAGTTCTGATGCCCCAAGAGATCTGGGCTCACACAGCGCCCACGTGGGCCAGGCCGTGCCTGGCGTGCCGGTGGTGCCGAGGAGCAGCCAGCTGGGCTCGGGGGCACCCGTGATGCGCCACCACAACCCGGGCTCCCCCGGGGGTCCCAGCTCAGCCCCCGGACACGGGACACACCCCGCGGAGGGCGAGGCCGGCGGGGCTTGTGCCCAACCCAGGGGCTCGCCGTTTCCGGCCATCCGCAGCCCGGCCGGCCGCGTTTGCGGCCGGGGACGGTTTCGGACCGCAAGCCGCCCCCGCGGCCGGGCCGGTTCCCGGGGGACACTCACTTGTAGGTCCTGCCCAGCGCCCTGGAACAGAAGCAGATCCCCGCTTCACCTCACGGTCGGGCCATGGCGCCCCGCTCGCCCCCCGCCTTGGCGCCGGGCCCGGCGCGGCCAGGCCCCCGCCGCGCTGCCCGCGGTTCGGCCCCCGGCCGACCCCCGGGGTCGGACCCACCGCCCGACCACCGAAGGGGGACGCCGGCGCACGGAAACGGGCGCCGTTTGGAGGGTCCGGCCCGTGCCCTGCGCCCGGGACGGAGAGGGGCGGCCGCGCCGGGCCCGGCAGCGCGGCGGGCAGGCCTACGGCGTGACATCCCCCGCGGCCGGGACCGGGCTGGCGGCGGCGCTGGGCGGAGGGCCGGCGGGGAGCGGGACACCGCCTGCGGGATGGGGCGGTTCCCGGTTACTTGCCGCTGTGCCGGCGCGTTGTCCCTGTGTCCCGCCCCCACTGGCCACCGCCAGTCCCGCGCTGTTCCTTCCCATGTCCCCTATTACGGGACCCCAGTCCCGGGCGCTGTTTCCATCCCATTAACACCATCCTCCCGGCGCTGTCCCTGGCCCTTACACTGACCGGAGTCCCGGGCGCTGCCGCCGTCCCCGCGGGGAAGCGGGTTCAGCCGGGGCAGCGCTGTGCAAGTTTCGGGAGTGTGTTTTCTTTATCACTTTTCATTTTTGTTTGGGACGGTCCCCGTCACGGAGGAGCTGTGCGTGTGCCGGTTTAATCAGAAACGAAAGGCTTGACCCCGAACGCTGCAGGAACTCTTAAGTTCTGGGTCAGCTGCATAAGCTCTTTAATGGCAAGAGCCTTAAGCGCGCCCAGGAGCGCTCCGGCCGCTGCGAGAGGAAACGCCGGCCCGGACCGTCAGGGCAGCGCAGGTGCCGGGGGTGCGGACACACCTGGCTCCGCGGGTGCCGGGGGTGCGGACACACCTGGCTCCGCGGGCCCGGGGCTCGCTCCGAATAAAGGCCGCGGGTGCCCCGCCCCGCTGCCGTTCAGGACCGGGAGCAGCCGCGGTGTTCCCGGGCCGTGAGAGCCCGTCCCTGAGGAGGGGGCGTAGCAGAACCCAGCCCCGCAGCCCCGGGCCCCGGGCTCCGTCCCACTCTCGCTCCATGGATCGGGTTTCCGACGGCCGGGCGGGCGGTGCCGCCTCTCCGTGGGGCAGCGCCGGCGGCGGGGAGGGGCGCGTCCTCGGCCGGGGCCGCGGCAGAGCGGGCGGAGTGGGCAGGTGCGGCGGGCGGCTGGGCTTGGCGCCTGGAGCTGGGGGCTGCGCCTGGAGGCTGGGGCGCTGCGCCTGAGCCGCGCTGGAACCGGAGCCGGCAGGTCCGCGCCTCCCCGCGCTGCTCTCCGCCCGTCAGCATGAAGGTCGAGTTTGCCCCCATCAACATCCCCCTAAAGAGGAGGATCCAGACAGTCGCCGTGCTCCAGTGGATCTTCTCCTTCCTCCTGCTGGGTAACAGCCTTCCTCCTTCCTACCCTTGCCCCAGAGGGAAAAGGGCTAAGAATCGGCTTTTTCCGTGGCCAGCGTTACCTGTGCGCGTCGCTCTGTGCCACCCGTGTCTCCACGTGGGTGCAGAGGCTGCGGCCGGAGGCGAGCAGCTCCCCGGCGATCCCTGGGCGGGGAAGAGCATCGCACTTCTTTCTTCTCTTAAAGCTTTGGATGGATGGCTTTCCCTCTTTTTTGGGTCTATTTCTTTCTATGGGTTCTTTTATAAATATGATCCTAAAAAGCTAGTGACTGTGTCTTCACGTTGAGGTGCTGTCTAGGTTTCTGACAGCAACTTTTTACTGAACATGAGCATAAAGGCTTGTACATGACTAATGCTGTTTTCATTAGTAATTGTGTTAAATAACTTTATATACTGCAGTTCAATAAAATTCTCATTTAACTAGGTGATGAAAATTAATAGGGATCATCAAGGAACTGGCTCAAACCATTTCTGTAAATGTCCTCACTTGCTTTAAGGAAGTGTTTGTAACAATTCTACTTGATAAACTTTTTGCACTGATTGTTCCTCTATAATTAATGTTCATAATGTCTTAATAGACACCTATCACTGAACACCTATTCACAGCAGCAAATCTTATTCACATGGGTAGTTATCTTGAACTCAGTGGAATGGGTCACTTGATAAGGAAAGATAAGCCTTAGCTCTCTCAGACTAAAGCCATGGATTGTGTAAATTGGGAAGTGGTTATCAAATAATCTGTTCTGAGGTACAGAGCAACTGATTACCTGTGCCTTACTGGAAATGTTGGAATGCTTTGCTACCGTCTGTGCTTGAGGACTTACAAGGAGAAAAGGAATTGTGTGCATATCTTCCTTGTGTGTCTTACAAATATATTATCCTTCAGATGGTCTCATGTCTTTCAGATGATTTCTTTTTTTAGGCTGTTAGCCCACACATGAAAGATATGCGTATGTGGGAGAAGCATGGAGGGTATGAAGCATCTTCATAGATTTATCCCTACCATCTGGCTGTTTTCTTACCTCTAAATTATATGTAGTTGGAGTATGAACGGTTTGTGTTTGTGTCTACATGGTAAATAGTCTGTACTTCTAATTTTCTGTTATTGAATTAGATCTTGGCAGCTGCCATTTTTCCAGTCTCATAATGCAGTGGAAGTTCAGTAGCAGTGGAAGAAAGCAATTTTTTATCCTAAAGTAGCAATGCTGCTGCAGAAAAACACATCCTTCTGAGCTTACTAGAAGTGATTGGGATGCAGAAAATCCACTCTTGCTGTAGTTCAGCAGAAGTAGGCAGCTGTCATCTGCAGCTGGTGGTGTTTGGGAATAAATGTCAAGGAAAATCAATAAGGAAGTGGTCTTATGGCTGGTTATGTTTGGTATAGGGAGTACATGTGACCACGAAAAAGCAGTTTGCAAGAATGTTTGGTGAACAAATTGATTTTAATAATGGTTATCTGCTTGTGCTTCATGGGGATGCTTATCTTTAGGGCTATCCAAGGTGAGCTTTTAATTTCATAGATGTAAGCTTTCAGTCATAGTGATCTGGCCAAAACGTTTCATTTAGCTGCAGGAAAATTCAGGTGGCTGAATCCTAAATGACTTAAAGCAGTGAAAAAAGGGCTGGTTTCTGAAGTTCTGAATTGTTTCTATGTCTGGATTTTCTGTCCTTTTTTTTTTCCCTGCTGTGCAGATAAAATAGGGTAGCATTATCTGTTTGTAAGCTCTTGAACTCAGAAGTGACACTTTCAAATCATGGAGGGGGTGTCCCAGTACAACTGAAATACCGTGTGAGCTGATTGCAGGAGACATTTGAGATTTAGGTGTTGTTTGGGGGGTTGTATGTGGCTGCAACTAGTTTATGGCAAGCAAGATCTTATGTAGATTCAGTCTGTCTTGTGTTAAATATCTACATGTGAAAACATGAACAGGTAACACCCAATGATAACTAATGATTCATATTATAGATAGAGGTATTATGTTTAGAGCAGTGAATAACCAGGGGACTGGCCTAGCTCCCAAAGTTGTCCATCTAGGTATGTGGTAAGGTGCCTTAACTTAGTAAAATGAACAGTAGGACTAACAGATAAAGATAACTCTGAAAATTAGTGCCCTGAATGACAAAAGCTTAATCGGTTAATGATGTCCTTTAAATCTGGGGAGTGACATGTGAAAATGTGATTTGGCACACTGAATAAGCTGTAAGGGGTATGTGAGCCTATTATTTCAAATTGGAATTTGTAATGTGGCTTGGATAGAAGACTCAGAAAATCAAGCATTGGTTTTATCTCCCTGGCTGAGAAATGTAAAAATCCCTTTCTCTCCAGGCTTGCTTTCTCGTAATGCTGCATGGTTTTCTGAGACTGTGGAATTGATGACTAAAAATGCCCTCTTGCTTGTGTGACTAAAGGCTATGCACAAGTTGATCTGAAATACAGACATGCAATAGTTGGTGAAGACTGAATCTTATCCCCACTGTAGAAAGAGCGAATCAGTCAAAAAATACTGAAAAAATAGCTGCAGCAGAATGGTACAAGCAAAGTTGTGCTTCTTCATGCAGCATACCAACTTAGGCTGGGTCTGCACTACAGATACATTACTTCTGCTGTGCAGAAGCGTAGGCAGAGTAAACATGCCCCTGCCTCAGAAAAGCTGTACAGATGTGCACAGAATTTCATTACACACAAAAGGAACCTCTTTAAAATTCTGGCTGTAAGTTCCTGTGCTTCCTTGTTCTGTGCTGCAAGCTGCCAGAGTTCACCCTCAAAGGGAAAAGACAAGTTTTCATTGTAACAGTGATTTGTCTGTTCGTTATCCAAGGGCATGACACCAGAAGCCAAAATAAGTTCTGAAATACTGGATTAGATGAGAGAAATGTCCATTCACAGATTCCCACCCTATGCTGGCTGAAACTGCCATATGGTTTCCTATCTTATGTTCTCTAAATGCAGCAGGCCAAAAAAGTTTAGTTATAAGTTCCATGAAAAGGTGTTTTAAATGGGCTTCCCTCTTTTGAAAGAAAAGTGTTATGGTTAGTCTGGAGTCCAGAAAACTAAACCTATGAAAACTAAAAATGAGGAAATGCTGAAATGATACTGTTACTTGCACTATTAGGCAGGTATCCAAAAGATCTTCAGGCTGAATCATAATGTCAAGCGATTAGTGTTATACTGCTGAAACAGCAAATACATAAAGTTTTGCAATTTCATAGCACCTACCTTGGAAAAAAGCCGAAACAGACCATTTTGATAGGTAGTTTTATGGATGTAATTACTGTTATTAGAGATTCATCATCTTGGCCAGGGACTGACAGTCCTGGGGCTGGTCTGGCCCCATTCCAAGCTCATGCAGCACCCACATCATGTCTCACTGTGGAGCTGTCTGCTCTTGATCACTCTGTGCCATTGTGCAGCCCAACCCCAATCAGAAAGGCACCTGGAGAAATTAAATCTCCGAGCCTGTAAGTGCTGCTGGACCAACAAAACAAAGAGGTCACATCACTCACGTTTTTGTGCCATAGGTTTCATGGTACACACACACACAGAAGGAATTGTCGCTGTCAATGAATGCAATGGATGTCCCCAGTGTTTAATACAAAAGCTTTGTTTTTAAGCTTGGAAATATTTTTCTCAAGAACTTTGAATTAATTGTATGTGTTTACCACTTTGTCCAATATCCTCCTGTTAGGAACAGGTTTTCTGTTTCTTGCACAGTAACTGGGCAGTGATTTATCCTTTGTGTGTGAGCTGTGTGCCTCAGTACTGCACATCTGTCAGTGAGGTTCAGTTTGTATCAGGACATGAGCAGTATCTAGCCAGGAGGTAGATCAAAGGGTTCATTTAAAGGCAAAACCATTTAAGCAAAAAACCAAAACAACAAACTAAAACAAAAAAAAAAACCAAAACAAAAAACCCAACCAAACAAAAACCGACAAACTAATCAGATTTGACTGAAGTGCTGCTTGGCAGGTGCTTTAGCCTTTTGTTTTCCTTCCTTTCTTATGTGCACAAATCAGATGACAGCATTTTGGAGAAAATAAAGCTAGAAGATGGGTTGGTGAGCTTCTCTCCTGCTAGCTTCTGTGCAAGTGATGTGAAAAGGGACAGTGGAGTTTGAGCACGTACAAAATCAAATGCATAACTAGGTAACTTGGGTGGAGTGGTGGTGTCTTGGATGATGATGAGGGAGGAAAATGAGAGTTTAACCCTATGACAGAGGTACCAGTGTTTTGCTCTGAGACAAGATGGTGGTAGGGGATGCATCCTCTAAGGCTCACTTTTGAGGTCCAGCTGGTCTTCTTCTTGCTGGGGATTTAGGAAGTGACTGTTGTGCAGGCACCCCTGTGTTTACTAGCAAAATACATACAAAATGAGTATGTAATATAAGGTATACTTTAATCTGCATGAAGCCACAAAATAATATGTTGAAGACGTTGTTATATATTAAAGTACATCCTGTTTTCTAGTGATTAAACTTCTGTGCATGTAGGATGAAATAGTCTGTTAATTGAACTTGCTGGAGATAGTTTGGGGTTGTGGATCTGGCTTCCCCAAAAGAGTAGAAATGATGAAAAATTTGCCACAGGGTGAGATATTGCTGCTGGATTAATACGTGATTTCTGTGTTGAGAAAGCAGGTAATGTGCTAAAGCAAATAATAACTTTTTCCCAAAACATGCCATGGTTTCTTGTTATCTGTTGTTGATTTAATTCATCAGCGATAGCTGGCAAACTAATATGGTCTTGTTCTTCCAAAAACCTTTTTTAAAAAAACTCTTTTAATAATTAAGAAAGGCTCATGGAGCTTAGCTGAGTTATCTTAGCAAGCAGGCTGGTATTGCTACATGGTTTTGTCAGTCAGAACTCATCTATCCATAAAATTTATTGCTGGCCCGTGGCAAGTGACTGAAGTGTGATCACAGAGAATAACAGGGTACTTACTGATGCCTGACTGACTAGTATTTCTAGGAATGCTGCCTCTGTTACC